ACTCTAAATTACTTTGAGAAAATTTGGCAAAAGACTGACCTACTCTGTGAACTTGATCGCTACTACATACGTGATGGAAGTAGACCTAAGTACCTCTCACTTGTAAACATTTACTTTAAAAATAAGGACGTAATAAGGCCACCTATCGGTAGACCATAAAACTTACACTAGTTTGGACTAAAATGAAAATAAAAAACATTTAAAAGGGTATCATATGTAAAATGTTATTATATTAGCTTTAAACGAGAGAAATGTGTTGTCGGTATATACCGAACTGTTCGTCAAGTTCAAGACTTTGCAATACCGAACATAAGTGATGATATGCACAAGATACGAATGTAAATACAGATACCCACATGGACAAGTGCGGTTTACTCCGACCGTCATGTCGTATCAACACAAACATTCACCTGCTTCTAAACCACAGTTCGGACAGGAGGAAGAGGTCATTTGTAGCTGACCCACCCTGATCTATCAAGACCAAAATCCCTCTAACGAAACTGAATGAAATGAAGTCGTTCGTAAACTTATCACTGGGGGTGGTACGGTTTCTTATCAGAAAAACAATAAAAGTCTATTGTGTTTGGTTCACTAAAAATGATACAGTCTGAATAAACAAGTCTGGGTTGAGTGTTCTTTCTGCAAGTTATGTAAACACCCTTTATTTTCCTATCAAAATTTAGTGAACTATTCAAAAGCGCTCGAGTTTCAGGTCTCGTTTGAAAACCATTGCAACTTTTGTATGTGATCCTGTGTGCTAACTTCTTAATCGGAATTTATAGTTCTGTAAAGATGTAGTAATTTTTTTTTATAAGTTAGGGAAATGAACATTTTTGAATTGTCTATCGTACGTCAAAAATAAGCTGTTTTTTCTCGCAAGAAAATAACTTTTTGATTAACCCTAGAATTAGGCTCCATCGTCTCTTTTTGAATCACATTTTTCAAAATTGTTTATGCACAAAATTGCCTGTAGGTCCTTGAGTCAGTTAATTACAGAGTCACTAATAACGTATGAGTCTCACAAAATAACGTATACAACAATAAAATAAATATTTCATTTGATCTCACTAATTACCGCTGAGACCCCTGTTGTTTGACAAAGAAAATGACTGATTTCGCTTACTTTTTGGGGGTATTTCCATTATACGTCTCATTGGTTTGTCCCCAGTTTAAGAAAAGCTGGGGCCGAGACTATAACTCGTTTGTGAAGCTTTTAGCTTTAGAACAAATTTACAAATAAAACATTTTTCTAACCGGATCGTTTTTATTGGTCTGTATATATTGTCTGTCCAGTACACCATGGCCAGGTGTTTAGGGCGCTCGACTCGCAATCTGTGGGTCGCGGGTTCGAATCCCCGTCACACCAAACGTGCTCGCCCTTTCAGCCGTGGGGGCGTTATAATATGACGGCCAATCCCACTATTCGTTGGTAAAAGAGTAGCCCAAGAGTTGGCGATGGGTGGTGGTGAGTAGCTGCCTTCCCTCTAGTCTTACACTGCTAAATTAGGGACGGCTAGCGCAGATAGCCCTCGTGTGGCTTTGCGCGAAATTCAAAACAAACAAACAAACCATTACATCAACGCAAAGAATGTTTGGCTAAAACAAGCTAGAGAATCTATTTAAACCGTTTCTAATAAATAAGTTTAAAATCTGTAAAACGACGTTTAATTTTGTTAAATAATGAGAGTCTAGAGTTTAGGAATTTCTGAAATTTTGACATCAAGAAGATTAGAAGAGTATCAAAATGATAAAATTTCACTAACCCTAAATTCTGAATTTGGAAAACCGAACAGTTTAGCATATCTTTTGCTGTGTATATATAGGTTGGGTCTGAATTTCGCGCAAAGCTACACGAGGGCTATCTGCGATGGCCGTCTGTAATTTAGCTGTCGTATAATAGAGGGAAGGCAGCTAGTCATCACCATCCGCCGTCAACTACGGAACTACTCTTTTACTAACGAATAGTGGGATTGATCGTAACTTTATAACGTTCCCATGGCTGAAACGGTGAGCATGTTTGGTGGGACGGGGATTCGAACTCGCATCCCCTAACCACCATGCCATGCCATTCCCATTTGCAATGAAATGTAAGACTTTTAAAAACGTAAGACTCATGTTAATCCTAGTTTTTGTACTGTAAAAGTAAGCCTAATTGTGCCCTTAACGGTTTGGAAACTCCCTCTTTTTCACACCTTCATCATATGTATGATGTTTTGAGATGTCTTTTACACTCCACCACCGTATGAAGCCTAGCCTAGTCTTGCCCTTGTCTAGGGTTACAGTTGAGGAGAGGAATTACCCGAAAGTTGTATAACTCAGTGACAAATGGTGAATCAAGTTATAGATTGAGCTTCACCAATAATTTGCCCAAATTCCTAAAAGCCAAAAGGTTTCTTTTTATTTCCTTTGTACTAAACAATTTAAATCTACAACCAAAGAAATGACAACAACAACAACAACAAAAAAAAGGTACTTACTGTTTTCAAACTTACTGTAATTAGTCGAATGGTCCAGAAGCACGTCGTATTTGCTAAAGTGTGTCCGGCAGAACGTGCTACGCGGATAAATACCCAAACAGAAGATCAGAGCAACGAATACGTTCTTGGGCAAAGCCATGTGCTCGGTAACAACGTTCGAATCTTGGAAAGAGTTTTACCAGCTTCTAATGCCGACAATAGCAAAAAATAAAATTCACAGTACGGTAGACTATTTTAATCTCTCTCAAAATTATCTTAGGACATTAAACCTCCGCATGTGGCGCCACCATCGAAACTTCTTTTACTTTTCTGATAACAGTATAATTGTAGTGATAGTAGACGAGAATGGTGTGGTGTGAAAGCACATGTTTATCTCGTCATGTTTTCCCGTCTTTTCCGGAAGAAACTGATAATTGCAAGGTCTTCATTTGTGTTTGCCCTAATGCCGGAATTTAGCCGGACCCGTTCAAACTTGACCTAAATTTCGATCGCAATTGTCTTATACCGGAAAATGTTTTCCGCATTTTAACGCTCGGGTGTAATAGGAAGTGATTTGGCTAAACACTTTCGAAGCTTATTATCATTTGGTTGACATGAACAGGTGGTCACCTGACCCCAGGGTAGAGGTTAAAGAATCCCCACAGAACCCATAGCATTCATTTAGCGACTGGTCAAAGGCGTCCTACTGCTGTCTACCCACTTCAGATTTCTGTAAATATTCCTGTGTTTTCTAATGATAACAACCTCATCATTAAATGTGTCATCTTGCTAAGGTTCGAACCACTGTACACTACATTATCTGAAAAATCAGTTCTAAATTTACCAGTTAAAGCTAAACGAAACAAAATACTCTTATTCCAAAACTGGTTTAATATTAGTTTATCTAAATTACGACACAGATGATAATGTTTCCGTTTCGGAAATTTTATATAAGCTTATTAAGTTTTAACTCGTGGGGGACAAAAGTTAGATCTGAAATGCTGTTCATTATACATTTCTGAATTCGACTCGCAATGGAGATGTTAAGAGGAATGTGGAAAAAAAATTACATTTGAGAATTCTTAGGCCTAATAATTTTTTACTCTGTTTCATTGTTTGTGTCAGAATTTTCGCGCTTAGTTACGCAAAGATCTAGTCAACAGCACCCACCGCCAACTCTTGGGCTACTCTTGTCTTTCTGAATAGTGGGATTTAACTGTCACTCTTTTAGCGTATTCACAGCCTCAAAAGCCCTTTTCTCTTCTGAATATAGAGATTGTGTTTTAAGGGAATTAAAGTTTATAACACATAGTAATCATACTTATTACGAATAAACGTTGAGTTATCGACCGAAAGAGTGGATGTATCTCTAACAATAGGTAGAGTATATAAATAAGTATGAAAAAGACCCCCGCAAAGCCAGATGTAAAAATCAATATTATAAACGGGATGTGATCTGATAGAATTAGATCAATTAAAAAATGTCTTGTAGATATCGGTTACATGATGGAAAGACTACTTTTTGAAAACACTCGAGTTTTTATGTTCTTTGTTGATATTTCTAAATAACGTTTCGATGTTTTATAGCACTATTCTACTATACTACTTATTAAGATTTTACTCCACCAAGTTAACAGCATGGTGGTTCATTGTTCAACTCAAAGCTGCACAATGGGTATCGAACCTTTGATTTTATAAGTTATCGAGCTTATCGCTAAGCCACTATGAGGGGTGAGGACTTCAAGGTACTTATTCAGTCGTCAGAAACTAATGTGTGTGTAACAAGTGTGCATCTATTTACCCCGTTTTATCCCCCCATCTTTCCCAAACGTGCACAACATTGGTTCATTGAGTTATGAAATGAAAAATAGAATAGCGTTAATATTTATTTAAAATCTAGTTGATTTTCAGGAGCCACTTTCATACGTCTGCCACATATTTCCATAACTTGGAAATTCGACGTTTTGGTCTTGCTGGTTTCAATATTGAAACTAGTATTTTCCGGATCACCTGAAGGATACTCAGAGCCTCAAGTTTGTTGGCTTTTTATCCTTAACTATTGTCCAATTGTCTTGCCATCAAAGGTAGAGCAGAAACAAAAAACACCTGCATAACATCTTCATGAAACATTTTTAATATACGGCATAGAAGCCGGATAACCTTTAACCTACTCGTTGCCTTTTATGGTCAATCTTATAACCAAGCTGGCAAACTTCACTTTTTTATAATACCATATAAATGCAAAAATGACCAAAACAAGTTAAATGTCTTCGTACCTACATGTCTGACTTCAGACACCTGGTGGGTGAGCGGTAATTTTACGGATTTATAATGCTTAAATCCGGGGCTCGATTCCTCGTG